GTATGTGGGTGTGTGTGAGTGAGAAAGCATGTATCCAAATAAAATAATAATAAAAAAAAAATACTAATAATCAAGGGAGTATAGTTGGATTATATTTGTAAAAAGCTAATAAGCGAGGACCAGATGGAGACAGGGTTCTGATATTGTTTTATGGACAGAGAGGCACAAGTTTTCCAGTGGTGGGCACAGTTCTGCTAACCTGTTATTAGCAGAACTAAGATTTTGATGAGCGGTCTTTATAAATCTGCATTATCTTGCTCTRAATTAACACTGTTTATGTTCATTCCCGCTAAATTCTTAAATATGCATCTCTACATATGGGATATTTTCAGTAATATTAAAGAGATGTGAAGCTCTGAAGACCACTCTGTCATGTTTAACCAGAAGATGACTGAGGAAAAGAAACCTCTGCTGAGAAATAAAACATTCAAACACCAAAGATCACAGCTCACTGAGGAATCAAACCCAAATTCTGAAAAAAAGAGATAATAATAATAAAAAAAAAATTCAAGGCCTTTGACTTAGCTGCACAAAGTGGGGGTAAAATACAATCTGGACAACAGCGTTTTTATCTGTAATGTTTTTGTATCCAGCAGGTTTGAGTGGAGGTGGGCAGGAAAAGGGAGAAGCAGCAGAAGAATCAATACTCAGTCTGAGAAACCAGTAAATGTTTCCCTCCGTGTGACACTTTTATTGATTCACACTCAAACGAGTCAGAGGTGTTGGAACAACAGCGATGCGGCTCTCATACCACACAAACCAAACGGGACTAAACTGGATTTGATACATTTACTTAACCGAAGCTGTAATCAGAGCGAGAGCGAAAAAACTCTCGTGAGTCTCAAAAGTACTCGTTGTCTTCTCTGTATAATCCTAACGCTTCTGTTTCTTTGTGCCTTTTTTCCATGTCAGTGAGTCAAATCCCTTCCTTGGTGACAGGTGATTTCAGCAAAGGCCTCCTGTGATTCCACCAGCTGACAGTTCAAGCCCAAATGGATCTGGAGGGGCTTTACGGGGGAAAAAGTGAGTCAGGTGTTTAACCTGATGAGGTGTGCTTGTCCCTTTAATAACCTCGGAGCGTGCTGTGAGCTGATGTTGTTAAGACCTGCGTACATCCAGAATACAGGGAGGGGCTTACACCTGAATCCAAGGCCAGATGAAGCTGCATCTGTGCCAAGTGACCTGAAACATTTCCTGTCTTTGGTCTCCTCTGCTGTCAGCCTAAAATGAGTCACAGTGTTTACCTCTGCACCTGCGCGCCTCGTATAGAAGGTGACTTTGTTGTAGCCAGGTCCAGGAACCCGAGGCGACACAAAAGAACTGGTAAATAAAACAATCTGCGACTGAAGGTAGACAATGACGTTCTGCACTCAAGCAGCGCCATTGTGTGTGTGTGTGTGTGTGTGTGTGTCTGACTGATGGAGGGCTGAGTCACCCAGGTCCACTCACTGATCTCCAGCTGTCTCTGAATGCGTCCTTTGCAGCGCTCTCTGTAGTCCGACTGGGTGGTGTTGTATTCTGACATCACCTCCACAAACTTGCGGGAGAGYGTGGAGTGCTGGAGAGACAACAAGACCTCACGTCAGCCTGAATAATGACAGCGGTGTGTGTTTGTCTCYGTCTGTTAGCAAAACATCTCATGAAATGAATGATGGATTTTAACCAAAACTCTCAGAAATTCATTAATGGATGTACCTCTACAACTGAACAACTTTTGGAGTYAGCCCAATTCATCAYGGCTGCCACAGATAATCMMACTTGGCAAACAAAACACACACACACAAAAGTTGATTTTACAGTTGCTAAGCTGAAATTTGTTATGGTAGTAGCTGAGAGTCATACTCAACACACTCAGACTGGTAAAAGATTCTAGATCTATATTCTCTTCTATTCTGGAAAGAGAAACTCAGCTTAGCATGTTAGCTTTAGCATAGCATCTAATGTCATGTAATCGTGATTCCTTTTAAACAAAGATGTTGACCTTGGAGCATACATTGGAGATGACTCTCTGCTACTACCTCACTAAGTTTTAGCCTATCTTGTTTCTTCAGACTTCTGTGAAACTGACTGAATTATGGTGATTTTTGTGAGTTAGTTGTGRTGGTTACTTTCTAAAAGTTTCATTAAAATCAGTCCTCTCATTTATCAGGTATTTTGCTAAAAACCAGACAAACACAAAGACAGTTACATGAACAGCCATTTTTATGGCACTGGCAAAACATTGATCTAATGCACATAATGAACGGTACCTGTGTTTTACGTATCCTCAGGTCAGCTGATGACCGGTTCTGCACCTCTTCCTGCTCAATGGTTTGCTGGACACCTGAACAGAAAAACAAAAATGAAAAAATTCTAACCAATAAATTAATATATAATTTATGTTTTGATAAATGTTGCCCTTTAAAGGCACAGTGTGTAGGATTTGTTGTTTTCAGCGACATCTAGTGGTTGAGTGGTTGAATCATCCTCCCTGGTCCTCCCCCCACCCCCA